AGAGAGAGAGAGAGAGAGAGAGAGAGAGAGAGAGAGAGAGAGAGAGAGAGAGAGAGAGATATGGAGCCTGGGCTCTCTGTCAGCCCTCAGATAGAGAGTCAACAGCCTCCAGGTCTAGAGGTGGCTGATGAGGAAGAGGAGGAACAGCTGACACATGGATGCACAGAAGGCAGAGGAGAGGAGAGCAGTGGAAATCTACTGCGGGATCAAAGGCAGCAGGTGGAGATGAATAGGTGTGGCAGACATCATCTATTCATCTTCCATTAGCCTGTGAGATAAAACTTTTTGCTGGAGCTCCTAACAAAGGAATCGGTTGACTTCAGGGGGTTTGTGGTGTTTGGGTCAGAACCTCTTACTTTTCACGGCTTCGATCTTGTAGGGAATGTCCAAGTTGCCGCTGGAGGCCAAGGCGCCCAGGAATGCCGCCACGTCGTTGGCGCTTTGGAAGCACTGGGAGGAGGCTTGGATGCATTGGCGGTTGTCGATTTCCAGGTGAACGATGGACCTGCAGGTTGGGGGAAGGGAGAACGCGCAGACATAAGCAGGACCATCCCAGTGGGAAGGAGGAGTGGTGCATCTGCCCAGAGGTGGAGCTCTTGCCTTACAATCAGGAGGCTCCTGAGTTCGATCCTAGGTAGCGGCAGATATTTCTCTCTCCCTGGGCACATTGAGAATATATCTGCTGAATAGAACTCCACATTGGCGACGGGAAGGGCATCTGGCCAGTAAACGCTCTAGCTGCATTCTGTTGCCCAGACTCCGTCCCGCAAGGGATTATGGGGCTGTTAAATGGAGATGATGATGATTCCAGCTGGAAGGAGACCCTCTCCGCCCTTCGGCGCAAGGACTCGGTGCCAGGGCGGCTTGACAGGAATCCAACGGCAGCCTGACCCAGCTCTGCCGGACTTACGATGGTTCGTTTAATGACCGTTTAAAGTCGCATGATTAAAATGCAGGCCCTTGGTAGCCAGCGTGGTTCATATTTATGACGGTTGTATTGTCCTGGGATCCCGGGATCCCTTTTGCCATTTTCTAACAAGCAAAGTCAAAAGGGGAATCAGATCCATTTAACAACCATCTTACTAATTTAACAACTGCTGTGATTCACTTAACAACTGCGACATAAAAGGACATCAAATGGGGCAAAACTCACTTGACATCCACGCTTAGCAATGGAAATTTGGGGCTTAAGTGGAGGATCAAATGGGCTGTGCTGAGTAAGAGGTAATCAGCACTGGCCCATGGGCTTTTCTCCTAGGAGGTTCCCAAAGGGGCTTTTTCAGGAGGCAACTGGACTTTCCGGTTTTCCTTTGAAGACGTTTCCCTTCTCCTCCAAGAAGCTTCTCCAGCTCTGACTGGATGGTAGGGAAAGATTTATATTCCTTGCAGACAGCTGGTCCTTTGCATCCTTTGAGAGGGTCCTTGAGGCCACCTGGAGGCTTATCTGTGTCCTCAGGAGGGTCACCCGAGTGGTGCAAATGGTTCCTGTCATCTGCAATCTTCTCCTCTGGAAATTCATTCCTCCTCCCACCCCATTCCAAGGACGTTCATCTCAAATTGTTTAGCTAAAAGTCTGTAGAGATTCATGTAGCCATGTAGAGAAACCTCCAAGTGCTTCGATGACCCTCTAAAAGGATGCCAATGACCAGCTCTCTGCAAGGAGTATGAATCCTTCCACTCTGTGGGGAAGTCAGAGAGAACTGAAGGAGCTTCTTGGATGAGAAGGGAAACGTCTTCAAAAGAAAAAAACACAAGGAAATCCAGTTGCCTCTTTAAAAAAAAACCTGGATGACTGAGAATTTCCTTGGATATTAGAATATTCCTCTCTCTGGTCCCAACTTCTATTCACCCCAACTGATCAGGCTCAGCTAGCTTTGTTCTTCCGAATGGGCAGGGCTACGCAACGCAAAGTCCCTCAACACTTTATGCCTGGGTCTCAATGACCTCTAAACACACACACACACACACACACACACACACGCCGTAGTCACCTCAGTTCACTCCTGCTTACCCGTAGATTTCCACCTGGTCCAGCTCTCTCTTTGGCCTCCGGCTGAGCCTCGAGTGGACGGCTTCCTTCACGCTGAGCACCATTTCAGACACGTCCGGCCAGCCGCCCAGCGCCCTCCTGATGCGGTGCTTCTTCAGTTCTTCCGGGTTCCCAAAATACGGGAAGATCATGGACTCGCCCTTGGCGTCCCTCTTGAAGACCACGTTGGTGTGCAGGACCCGGCTGAGCTCCCGCAGGAAGTTCAGTGAGTTGTTCCTCAGGGTATCAGGGTTGATGAGCACCACCACCACCAGCGTCCCGTCGGCCAGCCTCTCGGGCACGTGGTTGGCGCAGTCGAGGCCGTCCCACTCGCACTCGGCACTGTTGCAGCCCTTGTCACAGTTGCCATCGGAAAAGTGGTCCTTGCAGTACTGGTCATAGAGAGGGCTGCCAAGATGGAGGGAGAAACAAGTGAGGCCCATGGGACCCTTTCAAGGTCAGAGGTCATCTGGACACACCCAGGCCGTCTGCTGTCACACCCGAGGAGAAGAGAAGG